TGTTCTACATCAGTGCCTTATTGTCTAACAATTAAACAATCTATTTACACCACTTATTCCTTACATTTAAAAGCATCATACATAAGTACATTATTTTCTAATAATTTGATGACCCATAATAACAGTTCCTTCATTTAACGATCATCGATTAATTGTTTTAATTAGTGTGTAGTCTAATATGTATAACATTTAGTTACTGCAGCCAGTCCCATCAAACCTCTGCAATCGATCCAGAATGTGGCAGCAAGTCTGGACTTTAATGAGCCAAAAAGAGCACACGTCACAGCGCTTTTCATCAATTTAAACTGGCTTCCAATAACTCCCTGCATCAGATTCAAGACACTGACATTTGCCTGCAAATGAACCACTGACTCTGCATTTCTTTATCTTAATTCACTACTTCAGACTCATCTTCTCTCAGCTTGCCTTCTGCAGGTGAACATGCACGAAATCCCTTTCTTTTCTTTTTTTACTGTTCCCTGGTGGTAAAATGACCTGCTCATGTTCAACACTTATTTTGTCATACAATTTCATCATTTTATTCTTATAATCTGTTCTGTTCCTACCCATAAAAATCCTTGTACTGTTTACTGAATTTGACCAACAGGGAATAATCAAAGCTTTCACATAATATTGACATTTTCTTTAAAATTATCTTTAAATATTGTAACTTCGATTGTCTGAGCTGTTAGCTGAGTCTTTGTTTATTTTGAGCTCAGTCAAACACACACACACACACACACACACACACACACACACACACACACACACACACATATAATATTTATATATATATATATATATATATATATATATATATATATATTTGCCATATTCATACATGTCAACCCTGCTGTTTTTCCTGGGATGCTCCCGTATTTTACAGTTCTATACCGCTATCATCTTGTAAAGGTATTTTCCCGTATTTCTCCTGTATTTTCAGTATTTCTCTGAAGGGTGGCAAAAAACGTTAAAGAGCCGAGCCTTCCTATACGCAACCCATACCGTCGAATCACCTGGGGCTGCTCCTTGCTCTTAAATGTGAGTCTGTTTTGTGCTTTCGCTTTGTTTAGGCACGAAAACACTTTGAAAAAAAAAATAATAAAAACTGCGGGATTCCATTCCTTTTTATTACAGGTGCCGTCGCCCCTCAATCCTCAAAACAGTCATATAATGGTGCATGACTGTCAGCTGGCGCACTCCATAACGACAAATAGCCTCTGTTATGGTGGGCATAATAACCTTATTATATCCCTTATTTTCACATCCCAATGTTGACAGGTATGCATATTGCAATGATGAAAATACATAATATTTTACTATTTGTTTTTCAAGATACTAGATACTTGGAATTAGCTAGGTTAATTAGACAAGTCTTTGTATAACAATGTTTTTTTTCTGTAAACAATCAATATAATAACTGCTTAAGGGGGCTAATAATAATGTAATATTGTAAACTAATAATATTAAAACAGTTTTAAAAATGAATCTGCTTTTATTCTAGCCAGAAGTACGTGTGGCTGCATTTCGTGTTTAGAGCGAACACTATGGGGCGGTATGACGCTGTTCCTTTTTGCGCTAGCAGCTGACTGCTTACCTCCATATGGACGGCTTTCCCGCTGTTACCAGTTTGTCCCGTCAGCTCACGTTGGTGGACCTGAGACACAGATAGGGGCTGACCACGATGATTGGGTTTGAGATCCAGAAAGCAGGTAAGACAGAAACAAAAACCAAAAAAAAAAAAAGTAAATAAATAACAGAGTGGAAAAGTAGTAAAATCTGAAAACATGGTAAAAATCAGGCAAGGGCTTTTCTTTTTCCGGATTGTTTTTAAAACTGTTGGTTGGGTTTAGGGAAGTGGGTGGGCAGGTCAGTCTGTGCTTTTATAACTCCATTGGTTGGGTTTAGGAAAGGAGGAGAGTGGGTCAGTCAGTTAGTCAGTAAGTCAACCTCTGGTGGATTTACGCATGAGCAGCAGGTGTGACTGGCACTTACAAAAGATATTTGAGATCCCAAAAAGCGTACCCAGCGGCCTCTGGTGGATTTGCGAAAACAAAAACTGCAGAAAAACATAGCTCCTGGGACATATTTAGTGCTCTCCAGAAATGTATATAGAGGCATGTTTTCAGAATGAGCCTGGATTGAAAAAATCTCATATGAGTATACTGCGAAAATGTCTTTTTCCATTAAATGTCACTTTAAAAATATTTGAAAAAGACAGCTAATAATTTTGTCATAAAAACTGACTTCCTTATTTATATTATGTTCTGTATTTTTATTTAGAAAAAGGAATATTAATACTTATTTATTGTTTATTGTGTTTTCTTTATATAAAAACGACATTGATCTGCAACAATTTTTCTTTTTTTTTTCTATTTTACCTTTTACTACAGTAGTATATACATTATATATATTATGGACTGTCTAGAAATGATCATATATTTTACATATTTAGTTCTGTTGTTGTTACTATGATTACTTCTATTGCTTTAATTAGTCAGTCGCTTTGGATAAAAGCATCTGGCAAATGATTTAATGTGAATATAAATGCTTAGCGGGTTTCTTTAGAAGTGGTGTGGCTAAAGCACACTGTTCTGGGAATATCCAGCTGTCCTCCATTGATGTGCGTCAACATCGACACCTGTGCCACACAGCGCTGGCAAAAACCCATTCGTTTTTCTTTTTTTTTTTTTTTTTTTTGGATGTGTGAATGCTGACTCAGATTTGTGGCAGGATTTCAGCGTTCTGCTTTATGGGATCAGTTCTGAAATGCTGTAAAGGGGTTTGATTTAAAGGCTCTGCATCATGTACTCCCGTAATGTGAATCGTACTAATATGGTCAGAGCTGTAAATGTTTATAGAGGGGTAAAACATGATTGAGGGATGCATCTAAAACCGTGAAGGCACATACACTTTAGAGTATTAGCCTGATTTCTTGATTTGCTTGAAGATTTAGGGTTTCTTTTTATTTCTTGCCAAAAATTTGATTGGTTTTTTGATTGAATCGATAGATTAATTCCAGTTTCAAATAAATAATCAATGCAAATTCTTTTGTTTTTAGGAAGAACATTTGCATAAAGGCATTTATATTTATATAACTTATATAAATAAGGCATCACAGTGGGGCAGTTGGTTGCACATCGCCTCATAGCAAGAAGGTCGCTGGTTCAAGCCTCGGCTGCGTCAGTTCTGTGTGGAGTTTGCATGTTCTCCCCATGTTAGCGTGGGTTTCCTCCGGGTGCTTTGGCTTCCTCCACAAGTCCAAAGACATGTGGTATAGGTGAATTGGGTAAGTGAAATTAGTCGTTGTGTATTTTTGTGAATGAGATTGTATAGGTGTTTCCCAGTGATGGGTTGCAGCTGGAAGGGCATGTGCAGTGTAAAACATATGCTGGATAAGTTGGCGATTCATTTTGCTGTGGCGATTCCAGATTAATAAAGGGACTAAGCCGAAAAGTAAATGAATTATTGAATGAAGCGACAAAAATAATAAAATTTTTCAATATTTTTTTTTATTACGCTTGTAGCTATGGTATCATAAATTGTGGAAATAACTTATTGAGGGCTTTAAGACCACATAGAATGTGATGTAAGTCAAGTCATCTTTCACTACTGACCTTGTTGTTAAATTCAGAAAACCTTTTACAAGGAACTTTTATTCTAAATATTGACTTTATTTATATTAAAGGTAAGTTTTATACTAATTAGGCTTTTGTATTATTCATACATTTTCAATTGTACATTTTTACAAGACATGCTAGAAAAGGTAAAGCTTTACATCATTATTATTATGTTTTAATTGTTTTTTTTATTCAAATGACCAAAATCTGACTGAGGAAAGTTGAATGTGCTGGCCAGCTATAGCGCATGTTTTGGACTGTAGGGGAAACTGCGAGCACCCAGAGAAAACCCACAGGAACACAGAGAGAACATGCAAACTCAACACAGAAATGCCAACTGACCCAGCCGAAGCTCGAAACAGCGACCTTATTGCTGTGAGGCAATCGTGCTACCCTCTGTGCCACGGTGATGCCCTATTATTATTATTATTATTATTATTATTATTATGTTTTAATTGTTTTTATTCAAATGGCCAAAAGGAAAGTTGAATGTGCTGTCGTTTGTTATTTTCTTAATAAATGACAATAGGCTACTTTTTTAATTATTATTTATATAAGATGTAATGAATTTGTATTTTAAAAATTGTTTTTTTATGTTTTTAAATGCTAAATCTTTAGGAAATATGTTTGGTATTTAAAAATAGTGATTTTGATGACCATCTGACAAACTAATTTAGTGATTAAAATGTCACTAATTAAAAAGTTACGAATTGCCGTGAGATTGTGTTGTACTGCTCCTATAACAGACATTAAACTGACTATAAGAAACTTTACAAGTACAATTCAACTTAAACTAACCCTAACCTAATAGTCTACTTATAATCTAATGAGAATTAGTTGACATGTAGATGCAATGTAGCTTAAATTCAACAAACGGACCATCAAAACAGTGTGACCATGGAGTATTTAAACATCATAATTAAATATAAAATAAAGTGAAAAACTGCAACAACAAAAAAGAACCACCCCTTTCACCAGGCTGGCTAAAGGCATGCATTTACATACAAAATTTGCCTAAATACTGTACATTTATCTTTGTTTTCAGGTTTTTACTTTTGGATATTGTTTCCAGGTTTAAAAAGTTTAAATATTGGCATTTTTAATTCTATCTAATCACATGCATCTCCAATGTTCTTTCTCCAAAGTTAACAAGACTCCTCATTTTTAATGTCCTTTCTTAAACGGTCAAGTCACACGTGACTTAACTGCGTAAGCTCGGTGGCAGATTTTCCATGAAACCTTCTTCTCTTTATTTATAGTGCCACAGTTATGAAGATTCATTCAAATCCACACTGCTCCTACAATAATAAGCAGGTGGATATGTGCAAGTCCTGCGCGCGCCCGTCCTGTGTTGTTGGTTACTAAGCAACTTACGCGCGCCACACGAGCTGCGTCATTTCCTGTGAAGGGACGCGTTGGAGAGCCAGTTCAGTCGATCCCCTCCGACAGCTGAAGGCTACACGACATACGCGAGCTCCGTGGTGCTTTACTTTGTTCCTTTACGCACCGACGCGACGAATAACTTTACAACCTGTTTGATTTCTGTCTGTGGAATACATCCAGCGCACTTTCCAAGAGACTAAAGCCCGTTTCAACTTTCTGATTTGAGCGTGCCAGATGGAAGCAACTTTGCATTTTAGTTTGGGTGTCATATGTTACAAATACTGGACGAGTGGATTACTGAATGCGTAACCGGTGCTCTACTTTAAAAAACTAATCAGCGGGAACGCGTCCGTGTGATTATGGTGGTTGTAAAGCTTTGGATTTCTGGGCAGAAATCCTGAAGTGCCTCATAAGGGATTCACTGTTGACGGCAGAGACATTGGAGAAGACGCGCTGGCCACTTGACCCTTTTTTCGTGAGCACGAGACGCACCGGAGCGCGCCGCTTTCTGACGCCGTTATTGGGAAGGTGCACTTTTCTGTCTAAAATATGACTTTTTATCTATCCTACGTTAAACTTCTGGTTCTGTTGGTTTTTATTGTAATCTGTAGTTTGTTATTTCCATATAGACCTATATAAATATGAAGTTCGGTTATATGATTATGTCATATACAGGCTTGCATTTATAATCGTGCATACCATTAAAGTATACAGTGCCTATATTTCAATTGATCTTGTGTTATTCAGTCGATTTGTAACTATATATTTTACTAAATAAAAAATAACTTTACACTAATTGATCCCACATGTTGATTTAACTTGATTTTCCCCATTATATCATCAACTTATGTTAGTCATTAATTACAGTGGCATGAAAAAAATAATGTGTTAAGTAAATTAAATAAACAACATAAAACGCAATATAAAGTGCTCAAATTGACACAACTGAAAACTGAAAAGGTAGTCTAAATTACCTAATAAAATATTAAAGAGTATTTTATAATTACATTTTAAATGTGCATAGTTTATATCCACTCATCGTTTTACTATCATTTTCAATGTTTTAAAAAACTATTAAGATTATATTTGACATCGCAATGAACATTACTTTTTAATGATACAAATTTGACTTAACATTTGCCTGAAAAGTGGTTATTTTTTACTTTTGTTTTCTGGCGTAATTTAATGCATGTTTCTTTCTTTAGGCATTACAGGTCCTCTGTGACCCGTTTGGCGTGAGATTAAGCATGACAGCGAGCATCGAGGCATCGCAGTGCCATGCGGCGCTCCGCAGACTCCTGTAGACTCGGTCCCGGTGGTACTGCAATGCTCGCCGGGCCCCTCCACTTCCGCGTACTGGCTCTGTGATCCAGGCAAAGGGCGCGAGGATGAGCACAGACCTGGAGCGCCTGTCGCTGAACTCTTCCTCGGGGAACTCCGTGGCTTCCAGCGCGCGTTCCCTTTCCGCCAACGTCAAAAAGCTTCACAACGCGCTCAACCTGCTGCTCAGCGACCTCGAGAGAGAGCAGTTCATCCACTGTCTCAACGTGTACCACTCCAAGCGCAATGTCTACGACCTGGTCCAGACGCTTAAAGTCATACTGAACGTCCCGAGCAAGCGTCAGCTCCTGCCCATGCTGCGGCTGGTCATCCCGCGCTCGGATCAGCTTCTGTTTGATCAGTACACATCCGAGGGGCTATACTTGAAATCCGAAATCCATGCGCGCAACGGAGACCCGGACGGTGCCCAGGAGGGTGCTAACTCGAGTCCAACACATGGGGCTAATTTCCCGGCGTCTCAAGTCGCTCTACGCGGGTCTCCTGACAGCATCAGCACCAGCAGCGACGGGACAGCGACTCTTATTCCTTTACTGGGGAGGAATTTCTTACCGGAGCCCCCTGGAGAGATCCGACAGGTGATCCTCAAGCGTCACAAGAGCAATGAAGGTTTGGGATTTAGCATCCGCGGAGGATCAGAGCATGGAGTTGGAATCTATGTTTCACTGGTGGAACCTGGATCACTGGCTGAAAAGGAGGGTTTGAGAATGGGAGACCAAATAATGAAAGTTAACGACAAAGTGTTTGACCGGGTCACGCACGCGGATGCAGTAAAGGTAGGCCTATTTTCTGCATTTTAAGAAAATACAGTTCAATTTTGTAAATATTATGTGCCAGGAAAGTGAGATTAAAGAGGTGGTCCACTACAATATCACATTTTAAACTTTAGTTGATGTGTAATGTAGCTGTGTGAACATAAACAACATCTCTGAATGTATGCGCTTTGGCTTTTATTGAGTTAGCTTAGCAAAGCCTACAGCCAACGAAGTTTGGGGACTACAAAAAAATACATCCGGGTTAATAATGCCATAAACCCTTCAGGTTACGAGCGTACATCCTAAGTGTGGCCAGACGCACTGTAATGTTATAGCAAAGACGCTTCCTGCTGACTTGGAGCCGATCCACAAATCACAGCACATTATGTTGTTAGCTGACCAATCTGAGCCTCTTGAGGGTGAGCCTTTTGGAGGAACTAGAAAGTATGACAGTCGTTTTTATGTTAACTGAGTAGCTGTATATAATCAAAGTAAGATTTATGAAAAAAATAAGGTGATTTTTCCGAAGGAAGCATGAGCACACATTGCTCTCCATCTTATAAAAACAACCAAGCCTTAAAAATGCACTCTGGACCCCCCTTTAAATATTCATTAAGCTATTAAATATGTGTTCATTTTAGTGGACAACCAATACCTTTTTTAATTGAATACATAAAGCATAATGTCCTACTATTTACAGTAGTAAAAACAGTTATTAAAATGACCGATATGTATATTAAACTTAACATTTTCTAAGTTAGGAGTAATTAAATTGTTAAATTTTTTTAGTTATAAAAGTAACTTTGTATAAAAAGAAAGGATTGCAGTCAAAAATCCACCTCAATATACTAAAAGCTAAATGGTGTGACTTCATTGAAAAAAAATAGTTGATTTTAGAGTTCCTTTTAGGACACTGATACGCTGCTTTAGATTTAAATTGAAATGCAATTATAAAATATCAACTAAAGTCACTTTTAGGTCTTAATTTAAATAGAGTTTGCACTTTTCCTTTTTGAAGCAAAATTTTACTTCTGCACTTTTACCCAAGTCATAACCATGTTTAGTTCGCCAGATTCTGGCCAGTCTATTGACTAGAGGGAATAGAGTGCACTTCTTTGCCTTGATTGATTATTAATGCAAGACAAGCAGTTTAAAGTGTCCCTTGAAGCACCAGAGTGATAAATGCTCACTTTTATTGACATGTGGTAGCTAGGAAGGCCTGTGCAAATGTTAATGATATTGATTCTTTTGTATGGACTAGCTATAGTTAAATCACATGTGGCTTGTCACTTTTGAATCCGCAATTCCTCCTAGCTGCATGGTTACAAGTTAAAAATTTCAGTGTGGAAGCATTTCTTTGCTGGTTCCTCTAGTGCATTTGTCATTCAAACGACGAGCTGACTTTGTCTGACCCTTTACATTCTAACTATGATAGTACTGCAATTATGATTGATAGGAAGTAATAGCTATCTTTTAAACCACCCATGTTTTGTTATGAAGGGTTTGTGTGCTGTCCATGGTGCTGAAACCAGTTATGCATTATGAATTGCATTCTGTTCAAAACTTTCCTGCAAGAATTGTACCGGATGGTAGTTACAGTGAGACCACTAATCTCCGCCTGCCACACACACTGCTGGAACCTTCCGGAAACCTCTAGACATCCTTTCTAAAAGGTCAGTTCTCAGTGGGAGCCATTAGTTTCAACAAGAACATTGAACATCATAATAGAGAAAATGCTTTGATGCACTTAATGTGTATTTGTGGTCATTAAGAGGCTACTTCAAATAAAAAGACGCTTAGACTTTCTCACAGGGATTTTAGTAACCTCAAGTGTGCTTTGAATTATTGCAGCGATCATATTTTTAACAACATTGCCAAACACGGAAGCACCTGACATGGAAGATAAGCCACATTTCGAGCATGTTTCAATGTATAGGCGTATAGCTAGAAGCTCAGTTCCACTAATACCGCTTGTTTGACTCTTCCACATCCCCATGTTTGAGAATCTCTGTTGAGTTGTGTGCCAAGAGAAAATTAACATGAACAGTTTGCCGCCTTTCTGTATCATTGTTTCCCTCCTTCGCCCGGGGGAAAACTGGCACAGTTGAGCAGCGGGGTATAAATTCCTGCCACGCTGCCTTTCTTAAACAGAAGCTGGCAGAAGGGGGAGGCTGCTTCCTCCCAGTTAATCATATTGATCTGCATGAGTAAATGGACGGGCCTCTCCCTTGGGCTGAACATGACCTTCCGCTTGTCATGGTGCTCTCGTTCTCATGTAACGCAGACATATTCTGACCGAAGACGCAACTGTCTGAATGGCCAGAATGGAGAGCGCTAGATGGGTTTTGATCATTTCAGCGCAGTATACTTTTGAAATACCTTGAAATGCTCCCCAGGATATGCTAGCAGGCTGAGGTGTCTTATCTTTTTTTATAGCAGAAGGAAGAACATCTATTTTAGTTACAGTGAGGATTTCCTCCAGGCTTAGATGACCTTTATGATGTGTAAATGAACTCGGAGTGTTATCTGTTTTGCTCTACTTTTGCTTTTTATGTTATTTTTGGGGTTTCTTTAAGTTGTTGTCGATGAAGACCAAAATAATACGCTTTTTATTGAAATTGTTGTGACAACTTGATATGTTACAATGCAATTACAAATGCAATATGGTAGTTGCGAAATATAACTCATAGTGATCTTGCATTTGTGACCAGATTCTCTCTAAAAACTACTTTAACAACAAAAACAAAAAGTAAACAGTATATATGTCAGTGTGAAATGTATTGCCATTGTCATTTGAGCTACAATCATTAGTTCTTTCTGAAAACATGTCTCCTAGAATACACTGTGTATTTTAGAACTTCAACAAAAGCAAAACAGTATGCAAAAAGTTTTAAGTTTTAAGAATAGTTTTACTTTGTATATACGATTGTAGTCTTTTTCACTTTTTTTTTGCATACTATGTAAAAAGAAAGCATGAAAAGGACCTGTGAGATGCGGCACAATTACAGTCAGATAGACTTTAATGTGGCTTTAATTTTGGACCAATTAAATTTCAGAATGGTCTGCAACAACTAACCCATTCATTCATTCATTCATTGGCTTAGTCTCTTTTTCAGACTTCGCCACAGAGGAATAAACCACTAACTATTCCGCCACATGTTTTGATGCAGCGGATTGATTCCCTTCCAGCCACAACCCAGTACTAGGAAACACCCATACACACTCACATTCACACACACACACACACACACACACACACACACACACACACACACACACACACACACACACACACACACACTATGGCCAATTTAGTTCATTCAATTCATCTATAGAGCATGTCTTTGGACTGTGGGGGAAACCGGAGCACCCAGAGGAAACCCACATGAACACGGGGAGATCATACAAACTCCCCACAGAAATGCCAACTGGCCCTGCTGAGACTTGAACCAGCGACCTTCTTGCTGTGAGGTGACGATGCTAACCACTGAGCCATTCTGCCACCCCTAATCTGTTCAGTATAGATATTTAAACTAAGCAAATGGCAACTGTTTCATTCCTTGTTGTGGTTGTTTTTGAATGAAAAAAATCAGGTTTACATGAGAGAGACAACTTTTTAGCAGACTTCCACGTTGGTAAAGGAGGAAGTTTGTCAATTGAGATTTATATAGCAGAGGGATAGCAAAATTGTGAGATACTACGGTATGTCTCAATTAGGGTTGCACGAGATTGGAAAAATTTAACATTGCGATATTTCATTTTGCTGCAATTTATATTGCGATATAAAAACAACTTCACCAGATAGCTTGAATAGCTATATTTGGAAAGAATTGTTTAATGTAGACTGATTGTTCTGGGTTTACTTTGGATTATTATTGGCAAGATAGGAGTGAAATATTTTACCACAGAATTCAGGTACAGAATTTGAATAATCAACTGTAAAATAGCACTGTATAGTCTTTATTGTATAAATGATTCAATAAATAGTTGCAAACAGTATAAACAATTTCAAGTGCCTGAATACTTTAAACTCTCATGCCTTAATGCTTACACAGTCACGGGCCTTAAAAACACCTGCAAGTGGTTAACTTTCACTGCTTTATGGTTAAACTCTTCAGTCACTTCAAAAGTCTTCTGTGTTCTGAACTGTGGCTCCTGGTAAACTATAATCCCAACATATAAACTCCATTGATGTGACTTATGTGGATGTACATGTTGCGATATCGATGCTGAAACTATAGATTGTGCAGCCCTAATCTCAGTACTAGAATACAACAGTGATTGTAGTTTAGATAGTAATTTAGCCACAGAAATGATAGTGGAACAATAAGTTGTGCATCAGAATTGCATCCTGTTATGTTTCTTTTAGAAAGATATAGTAAAGCGTCTGAGGTCAGATCAATTATTATATGCTAAAAAAGATGTTTGCTGCCTGTTCAAACTACTCATTTAAAATGAACTGAAACAACATTTTTTTTTAAATTTTGAGGTACAACCTAATTGTTTTATGTTCAATCCACTTAAATTTGTAAACACTAACAAGTTAACCTAATTGATTTGTGTTGGGACTACTTGAAGGTATTGTGTAGAACCCGACACATATTTTCCAGTGTATGCTTGTGAATGCCTTTTTGGTTTTAAAGCAAATACATGCTAGGGCTGCACAATTCTGGCTAAAATGAGAATCACAATTTTTTTTCACCATGTTCTCACGATTCTGTATATGCAAAATAAAGGTAAATATGAGTAGGCAATTATTATTGTTATTCTTAAACACATGGTAAAACAACACTAATAATATTACACCTATGTGTAGGTCTACTGCTGGTTAAAATGCTAAACTTTGTATAGACTTCAAAAGACTTTAAAAATGTCCTGGTTGTTAATTCAGAGTAAAGTGATGACATCAGAATAAATATTCATAATTCTGAAGATGAATTATTATGTTTCAGACATATTCTTGACAATTGTAATTGACAGCATTATTAGACCATCTTATTTCACTGGTAAAATGAAACATT